GAGGACTTAAGATGGTACTTTTTGGAATTTGGCATGTTAATTTAATTAAGTTTTAGCTTTTTTTGTTTGTTTTCTCAAGCTGAGACTCTTATCAGGATCCATTGTTTGGTCTGGTCCTTGATGACCAGCTTAGGTGTTAATTAAGTCTCTCAGGAAGTGGTCAAGGCTGGGGGTGGTGAGGCAACTGCCATATTCTGCCTTCATTTGGGGGGAAGGGGTGCGCAGGGAGAAAAGTGCAACAATGAATGAATCGAAATCCAAAGTCTCTGTAAACGTTCTTCTTCGTTAAAATCAATTTAAAATAAGGGGAGCTCTGGTGGCCTAGTGGAAAGAAGCTGCACTGCAATCCCAGAGGCTCACAGTTCGAATCCACCAGATGCTCTGCCGGGGAAGGAGGGACAATCTTCTCCTGTACCAGTCAGATCTGATTTGACGGTACACGCACACACACAAATAAAATAAATAAATAAATAAAATAAAAAAGATAGACAAGCAAGACTGACTATGTTCTGGTCTTGCTACTAGTTAGAAGCTGACCAGTAATGGGGCAAAGCCAAAGAAAACAAGGCCTTAGAAGGGAGAGGCAGGTAGGATCTAAGAGCTTCATTGGGAAATTAACTATGCCATGTAGCATAGCTTCACTGGCCTATGGTGATAGGACCCATTGGACAGCTCATCGGTTTCATCCACTTATTAAGGAGAAAAGTAAAAATCATCGCCGTGCAGTTGGAACCGACTTAGAGCTAATCCTCCAACAGGCTTTCAGGGGCTGTAAATGGCATACGAGGAGGCTTCTCCCCTTTCTCCTAAGTAGCAGCTGGTGGATTTGAACCACTAGAGAGGGTTCTCCCTTTGGGTTAGAAGCACAACTTTCTACGTCATCAGAGCGTCAAGATTGCTCAGTTACTGTGATTTCCTGAGGAGACAGCTTTTTTCAAAGGACTTATGTGAAAATCAAGAAATGAAAGACGGACATGCTCTGTCTATAGCACAGTAGGGCCCTGGGGATGTTTGTTGGGCAGCTAACCCAAATGTTGGTGTGTCAGGTTCACCAGCAGCTCCTCCTGTAAAAATGTACACCGTGGGAGAACTGATGGAGGGTTCCTATCATCCGTAATAGACTTGACAACAGTAGTTATGTACAACGTTTAGAACAATATTAAACCCAAGTCAACAAATGCACCAGGAAGAGAAGGATCAACAAAGCGTGACCTTGTTCTTGGAAACCTTACAAACATAATAAGGATGATAAGGTACCACAAAAATACAGAAATGAAAGGCAATCCAAATATACGATACACTTCTGAGAGACCAGAGGGTTCCTTAAACATGGAGAGGAGAGGGAGACAGAGTCAGAGAAGACTTGATGGAAGAAGTGGCAGGAACTGAGGGTACAGGATGGATGAGGTTTGAAAACAAATTACCAAATAACAGCTTCTATGTGGTGCTGGAGAAAAGTATTGAATATACCATGGACTGCTAGGAAAACAAACAGGTTTGTCCTGGAGAGGATGAAGCCAGACTGCTCCTCGGAAGCAAGGATTCTGAGGCTTCGTCTGACATACTTTGGATTTGTTGTAAGGAGGGACCAGTCCTTGGAGTGGGACATCATGTTTGGGAGGGTGGAGGGACAGTGCAGGAGAAGAAGACCCTCAATGAGATGGATTGATTCCGTGATTAGGGTAATAATGGGGGCAGGTGTGTTGGAGATGGTGAGATTGGCTCAGGATAGAGCAGGGTTTTAGGGCTGTTGTACATAGGGTTGCTATGAGTCGCAGGCAACTCAAAGGCACATAACAGCAGCAACAACAACTACATTGCTGCTGTGAGTTGGAATCAATATAATGGCGATGGTGCTTGTTTTTATTACTATTATTGTTTGATTAACTCCTCCCCACCTGTCCGCTTGTCATTCTGTGGTGGCTAGCATGTTGCCATGAAGCTGGAAACTAGGCCACTGGTAGTTCAAGTCTCAGCAGGGTAATAATCTATGGTGATAGGTTCCAGATGAGTCTCCAGGCTAAAAGAGATTAGAAAGAAATGCCTGGCAATCTTTCTAAAAAATCAGCCAGTGCAAACCCTGTAAATGACAGACTTTTCTCTGAAACTTCAATCACTTGTTTTGGATGCATCACTGGGACTGATCGCTGCACAGGAACAACACGTAACGTGGAGGGTCAGGAAGGGCGAGGAACCCCCTGGGTGAGAAGGATTGATACAGCAACCACAACAGTGGACTCAAAGATGTCAAGGATCGTGAAGACAACATAGGACTAGACGGTGTTGGCAATACATGGGATTGTCATCAATCAGAATTGATTCAATGGCAACTAATATTTGCACCTGGTGTATACAATGGCATACAGAAAAGCAGAGGAGAGGTTGCGTGGGGTGAGAATGGGCCAACAAAGTGTCCTGAAGTTGGCTTGTGCTGGTTCACAAGAGTTGAGTGTAAGCCTCTTTTCAAACCTTTCAGGACCATCAGGTTGATAACTGGAAATTGGCCACGTGGGAATACTTTCACCAGAGAGATTGGCAAATGCTGTAAATCAGAGCTTCCCTCCTTCCTCACCCACCAGGGAGCCAATTGTTAAACTTTCACCAACACATCACTGGGCATGAGGGAATTTTCTGGGCTGATGAAATGTTCTTTTATGTTGGTAGGGATGTGGATTAAACTTAAGATATGTGCTTTTTATTATTCTAAATTATAACTCAATTTCTAAAGTAAAAAAGGAGGACGGAACTATTATCTCGATCTCACTTTATGTTTACCAACAGGGCCTACGTACATCTAGATGGGCACATGCTCAAGGTCAAGACTTGCCAAGTGTGACAGGAATTACAGGTTTTATTTTACAATAATGATGATGTCCACGATAATACCACTGAGAAGGGAGCCTGGAAAGAATTCTTCAGGCCAGTTCAGGAAGAAAGACTTTGCATGTTACCATGGGAGCGTAA